ATAGTATCGTTATAGCTTCAAGAATAACCGTCTAATCGTATTTTGCACAAATTAAGTACAGGCATTTGTTGTTTTCCCAGATAACGCAAAGATTTTCACTCACCCTCGCAATGCAACAGTGATCGAAAGTCAGAGTGTTATGTTCAGCTGCGAATATGAAGGAAAACCATTAACAACTGTGACATGGAAAAAAGACGACGAGGTCATTGCAGATGGTGGTAGAATAACAATCACCAATCCAAGTGCTGTTGGACGAGCCAACTCTACTTTGACCATCACCAATCTTAACAGGACCGATGAAGGGTTATATACTTGTACTGTAAAGAATGCAGTTGGTGCTGAGGAATCTCCTTCGAACACTGGATACTTGACTGTTAACTGTAAGTTTCAATTCTGGATTTACCTCGCTTTTCGAAACAATGACACCACAGCATGGCTATTTTATGGCTCTTTCAAAAATGAAAAATTACTGATGCATTTCCAATGGATATTTACTACATTTCCCTCCCAGATCAACCAAAGATTTTCACTCTTCCTCGCAATGAAACAAGGATCGAAAGTCACAGAAGTCAGAGTGTTACGTTAAGCTGCGAATACGAAGGAAAACCATTAACAACTGTGACATGGACAAAAGATGGCAATATCTTTACAAATGGTGGCAGAAGAACAATCACCAATCCAAGTACTGTTGGACGAGCCACCTCTACTTTGACCATCRMMAATCTTAACAGGACCGATGAAGGGTTATATACTTGTACTGTGAAGAATACAGTTGGTGCTGAGGTATCTCCCTCGAACACTGGATACTTGACTGTTTACTGTAAGTTGCATTAGCCCTCGTATTTTTTTTTTTTTTTACATCATTTAAGGTGGATCACAACTAATGAAACGCAAATTTTGTACTTTTTTAACTCGCTCGCTTCGCAAAAGTATTTAGCAAAACGTGCTATAATTTTGATAAAACATGCAGTAATTATTGCAGTTTTTGACAGTTTTCAGTATTTAGTAATTTAAAGGCTGGTTTTAAATATACAGCGCATTTTCAAACAGTGATAATTCCAGTTTTCGACTATTTACTCTAAAACTAACAGTCGGAATATTCTTATTGAATTAATCCAGAAAATTTCCCTTTGTTGAAATATAGCAAGTTCTTCTTGAATTAAAGTGAATGGAGTTCCTAGGTATTTGCTATTTGTAAGGTTTTTTGGCCTCGTTTCCATTCCATTGTTCTCTATTGTTTTCAACTCCCTTTCGCTTTAACTGCAAGCATCTATAAGAAATAATAGTGCCTTCTTCTTGCTCTCTTGTTTTTAGTCATGCCTGAGATTTTTGCAAGACCAAGAAATGAAACAAGAAATGAAGGAGAAAATGTAACATTGTGGTGTGAATTAAATACCGGCAATCCATCATCAGAAATAACATGGTTGAAAGATGGTAAACCCATAGGAAATAATGGTGGAAAAAATATAATTACCAAACCAAGTGTTGCTGGACGTCGTGTCAACACTACTTTGATTGTTAAAAATATCTCTAGGGAAGATGAAGGGACCTATACTTGTATAGCATATAATCAAGTTGGATTGGTATCGCTTAATGGCTTTTTGGATGTTAACTGTA